TTCTCCTGTTACAACTTATCATATATAAGGAGGAATATTGTGAATAAAGAATCAGATTGCTCTCTGGAAGACCTGGCGTGCATGTGTATTTTCTTCCTCCCAGAAAGCAGTCTCTTGGATCCAACGGGGGCCTAAACCTACCAGTGGTCATTAAAGAAATATCCCTTTCAAGAAGGACACAGTTCCGTAGATAATTTTCTTTCCTGGGGAGGGGGGTTCAGTCTTTAATACCTAGAGAACAATAATTAGCACCCTGCAATGATGTCACAAATTGTGTTGTATATACAGTATATACACTGTCCCCAGCAGGCACATCTGTTAGTGAAATAAATAGTAAACATGGATTTAGGCTTCAATGTGTGGTTTCTAAAGAGGTCAGTCCCTAAGGATTTTTACAGAGGTGCTCTTCATATTTAGGGCTGAGCTGCTGGAAATTGGGGTTTCCTAATAATGTACAGAGAGAGCTGCTTTGCCTGTGTGTCCTCCCAGACTTTGCTGCTGCTTCCAGCTCCTCTCTCCCCTGGCACACACTTCCTATGCCTCTCCTAGGTTTGTACACAGCATTCTCTGCTGCAGTCCTCTCTCTCCACCCAACTTCTCCTGTGCTGCAGGCTGTTTGCTCCCCAGTCCCTGCTATATCCCTCTGCATGCTCTGCATGTCCCACCAATAACTTATACTTTCCCAAAAACACCTCCCCTTGCACTCTCTCCTTGCCTTTGTGTAGGGCCAAATCAGGCTGCCCATGCAGTGAATCAGTTATCGTCTCCACTGTCCTATCAGCAGGGCCACCATTAGAAATCATGGAGCCCAGTACAGACTTCAGCTAAGCCCCAGCTTTACTGCCCCTTGGTCAGGTAGGTACCTTAAATCTAAAATACAGCTGGAGGAGGCTATATGCCATGGCTGTGACAATTTTACATCAAAGCCATGGAAAATTTGACACGGCACATTTTGAAAACGATGATACTCCCTAAGTTTCTATACTTTTTTCAAATGTTCCCAGTAAGCATACTGTAACCATCCCAGTCTGCACTTAGGTACTTCCGTTATAATACCGCTTCCCCATCCGAACACCGACCACAGACACCACAGCCGACCAAACAAGGCTAGACAACACCAGTCTGTCTGAACATGGAACTCTTTATTTGAAACTCGAACTGGCTTTTTATACACTCAGGAGACAATCCCCCCTCCCTGCATAATGACACAGGGTGGGGCAATCTACAAGAGACACACAGGTTTTCAAACTTCACACCACACCAGCAGACAGTCCCATCAGGAGGAAGGGCTGCTGGAGACACCCCCCTCTAAGCTAATACACATAATCACATACATCTCATAATATTTTGCTCTTAAGCAAGACACACAATAGAACAATGGGATGCAACCACATGGCATTAAACAACCAACAACCCCCCACCCCAATATTAGGACAGATCACCCTGTACCCCTAACAGGCACAGGGTGACTTACACATAATAGGGATATGGGGAGCTGAGACAGGGGTCTCCCCACCTCTCCAAAGTGAGCTGGGTTCCATGAGCCCCCCACCCAAAGTGACTCCCGTCACACATACCCAAGTTTTATTTTTGCTGGGTACGTTGTGCTTTTTCAGGCTTCATTTGGCAGGGTAAAAACCCCCCCCCCCCCACTTATCTTATCAACTCCTTGATAAAACAAGGAGGCCTAGGACTGCCTGCTCTTTTCTCATATTATCAGGCTAATGCATCACTGTGCATTATCAACTGGAATATTCATGCCCAGGATAAACTATGGGTACCCCTTGAGAAAGTGCTGGCAGGTAGAAATCTACCTGTGGCTGGATCACACTCACAGGGGATTGGCGGATTCCATGTCTCCATTGTCTCATTCCACTTTATACATCTGGGATAGGATGTACAAGTTGGCCCTTTTCCCTTCCCCTCATCCACCACTGGGAGGTATCCCCTGGTTTGCCCAGGGGAACGTAGCACATTTTCTGGTCCTTGGGGGGGGGGGGGGGGGGTTCTGTGGAGGTTAGGTGCTTCCATAAAACTATGGCTGCCTCTCAGTTGAAATCTCTGGCAGAGCTTTTGTATGAATGTGACAATAACAAAGACATGTAGCATAATACATTTTGGCCTACATTTATAAAGAAATTTGATTTTTTTTTTTATTTTTTTTTTTGTTGGATATGTTTTGTAGTAAAAAGTCAAAAATATTGTTTTTTTTTTTTTTTTTTTTAAATTGTCGGCCTTTTTTTGTTTATAGTGCAAAAAATAAAAGCTACAGAGGTAATCAAATTGTCAAGGTCCTACCTTTTCCCAAAGATTGTGCTGCTTCATGTGCTGGCGTTCATCTTGGGTTTCTGCAGAGCATGGTGGGAGTCTTTTATGCCTTCAGGCTTCTGAGGTCCATCCCCCAGAGGGGTGTGGCTAATTACATATAAGCCTGTGATCCTCACATGCCCTTTGCACTTGTGTCTTGTGTCTTTGTGTTGCTACAGCTCTGTTCATACTCTCGTGACTCTCCTGGAATCTGACTCGGCTTGTGACTAGACCATTCTCTGTGTTTTCCTTTTGATCTGACCTTCCGTTGCTGAACCCGGCCCGTGACCTGTGATTATTGTCCACTGTTCTGTATCGTTTTGTCCCGTTGTTGTCGACCCGGCCTGCCTGACTATGCTATTGTCATTCCTGCCAGCTACAAGCCATTGGCGGCGGCCATTACCACAGCCGGGGTGTCTCGGGGCCACGACCTGGTTCCTGGCTGTGTCAAGTCCATCCCCACCATCAGGGGCTCTGGTGAAGGGCAGCCTGGGACTTAGACTCCGCGCCCTGAGGGACTTCGGTCTGTGGGTGGGTGTTGTCGTCAGTCAGTGCGTTACTCTGCCACTAGGCCTGCCTGTCCATTCCACAGCCCCTGCCCTGACACAAATACCACCGAAAGCTCTATTTGTGGGAAAAAATGACACAAACTTTGTTTATCTACAGCGTTGCATGACCGCACAATTGTCATTTAAATTAATGCAGCACCATATCTCAAAAAATAGGCTGGTCAGGAAGGGGGGTAAATCCTTCGAAGGGCAAGTGGTTAAGGGCTTAGGAGGCATGACACAGTCCAAGAATTCTCCCACTTCTTTTCAGGCTTTGTGTATGGCGACGGAAGGACTGACTAGATTGCTATCTCTGCTTCAGGGCACCAGGGTGAGTGTCAGGGCTCCCAGGTATGACCAGAGGTGTGTGACTGAAGCAGGGAAACGCAGACCTCAGATATGTTATAAACAATATATAATTTATTAACACTAACAGTACAAACATAAACGCAGTGCAATACTAAACATAATACAGTGCAAACAAACCAAACCAAACCACCCACAGATAACAGTACATACAAGCAAGCGTCGTCAGGCAGGCCGGGTCAATATCAATTGGGCAGGTAGGTACAGGGGGAGCAAGCGGAGAATGGTCGGGGTCACAGGCCAGGTTCAGCAGGTAGCAAGCAGCATAGTACAGAGGGTCAGGCAGAGGGATGGTCCGGGTCACAAGCCAGGGATCAGAACAGGTAGCAAGCAGCGTAGTACAGAGGGTCAGACAGAGGGATGGTCAGGGTCACAAGCCAGGATCAGAGCAGGAGAAGTCAGCAAAGGAACAGAAACAGGATGCAGGACAGATACAGGGCCCAGGAAAAACACAACACCAAGGCAGAGTCTGTGGGTCTGGCCATCCCTTAAATACCCCAGCATCATCAGTTACAGGTGTTAGCTGGCTGCAGAGTTGAGTCTCTGATTGCTGGGAACACCCGCTGGCCAGCCCTGGTACTGCAGATCAAAAGGCAGGCGAGTCCCACCATTGCTGGCCAGTCCATTCCTAACAGTACCCCCCCCTCAAGGAGCGGCCCCAGGACGCCCCAAACAGTCCTAGCTGGGCAAAATGTTCCACCGCCCGGGTCTGGCAACTGGCGGGATATCAAAGACTGGCACACCGGGCAGGACTCCGGGCAGCGGCACACCGGGGCTGGACTCCGGGCAGCGGCACATCGAGCAGAGGCACACCGGGCAGAGGCACACCGGGCAGAGGCACATCGGGCAGGACTCCGGGCAGAGGCACATCGGGCAGAGGCACATCGGGCAGGACTCCGGGCAGAGGCACATCGGGCAGAGGCACATCGGGCAGGACTCCGGGCAGAGGCACATCGGGCAGGACTCCGGGCAGAGGCACATCGGGCAGGACTCCGGGCAGAGGCACATCGGATTACCAGGCGAAGCAGCAGGCAGCGGGCCACCAGGCGGAGCAGCAGGCACCGGGCCCCCGGGCGGCACCGGGCCCCCGGGCGGGGCACCAGGCACCGGGCCCCCCCGGGGGCGCACCGGGCTACAGGCACGGGCCCCGGGCGGAGCGGCAGGCACCGGGGCCCCCGGGCGGAGCGGCAGGCACCGGGCCCCCGGGCGGAGCGGCAGGCACCGGGGGCCCCCGGGCGGGGCCCACCGGGCCCCCGGGCGGGCGCAGGCACCGGGCCCCCGGGCGGAGCAGCAGGCACCGGGCCCCCGGGCGGGGCGACAGGCACCGGGCCCCCAGGGGGGCGACAGGCACCGGGCCCCCAGGCGGGGGCGACAGGCACCGGGCCCCCCGGGCGGGCGAGCAGGCACCGGGCCCCCAGGCGGGGCGACAGGCACCGGGCCCCCAGGCGGGGCGACGGGCACCGGGCCCCCAGGCGGGGCGACAGGCACCGGGCCCCCAGGCGGGGCGACGGGCATCGTGCCCCAGGCGGGGCGACGGGCATCGTGCCCCCAGGCGGAGCGGCGGGCGCCGGACCCCCAGGCGGAGCGGCGGGCGCCGGGACCCCCAGGCGGAGCGACAGGTCTCGGGCCCTCAGGCAGAGCGGCGGGGTGCCGGACCCCCAGGCGGAGCGACAGGTCTCGGGCCCTCAGGCGGAGCGGCGGGCGCCGGACCCCCAGGCGGAGCGACAGGTCTCGGGCCCTCAGGCGGAGCGGCGGGCGCCGGACCCCCAGGCGGAGCGACAGGTCTCGGGCCCTCAGGCGGAGCGGCGGGCGCCGGGACCCCAGGAGGAGCGACAGGTCTCGGGCCCTCAGGCGGAGCGGCGGGCGCCGGACCCCCAGGCGGAGCGACAGGTCTCGGGCCCTCAGGCGGAGCGGCGGGCGCCGGACCCCCAGGTGGAGCGACAGGTCTCGGGCCCTCAGGCGGAGCGGCGGGCGCCGGACCCCCAGGAGGAGCGACAGGTCTCGGGCCCTCAGCGGAGCGGAGTGGCAGGTGCCGGACCCCAGGCGGAGCGACAGGTCTCGGGCCCTCAGGCGGAGCGACAGGTCTCGGCCCCCAGGCGGGGCGGCGGGCGCCGGATCCCCAGGCGGAGCGGCGGGCGCTGGACCCCCAAGCGGAGCAACAGGTCTTGGGCCCCCAGGCGGAGCGGCGGGCACCGAGTCACCAGGCACGACAGTGGGCTCCGAGTCAACTGGTATGACCGCAGGCACTGGGTCAGACATTGTATGGTCTGGCTGGACAGCGGGCATCGGGTCACCAGGCATCAGGTCATTTGGCTCGACAGCGGGCACCGCGTCATCTGGCAAGGCAGTGGGCTCCGAGTCAACTGGTATGACCGCGGGCACTGGGTCAGACATTGGATCGTCTGACCGGACAGCGGGCATCGGGTCACCAGGCATCAGGTCATTTGGCTCGACCGTGGGCACCGCGTCATCTGGCAAGGCAGTGGGCTCCGAGTCAACTGGTATGACCGGGCACTGGGTCAGACATTGGATCGTCTGACTGGACAGCGGGCATCGGGTCACCAGGCATCAAGTCATTTGGCTCGACAGCGAGCACCGCGTCATCTGGCAAGGCAGTGGGCTCCGAGTCAACTGGCATGACCGCGGGCACTGGGGCAGACATTGAATCGTCTGGCTGGACAGCGGGCATCGGGTCACCAGGCATCAGGTCATTTGGCTCGACAGCGGGCACCGCGTCATCTGGCAAGGCAGTGGTCTTCGAGTCAACAGGCCCGACAGTGGGCACGGGTCATCAGGTACCGGATTGTCTGGCTCGACAGCGGGCATCGGGTCATCAGGTATGACAGCGGACACTAGGTCACCAGGCATCAGGTCATTTGGCTTGCCAGCGGGCACCGCGTCATCTGGCAAGGCAGTGGGCACCAAGTCACCAGGTACGACAGCGGGGCTCTGAGTCAATTGGCACGACAGCGGGCACCGGATCAGGTACCGGATCATCTGGATCAACAGCGGGCATCGAGTCAACTGGCCTAATAGGATCGTCAGGCTGGATCAGTTCATCATGCTGGGTAGAGGCATTAGGCCGAGTAGAGGCTTCAGGCCGAGTAGAGGCATCAGGCCGAGTAGAGGCTTCAGGCCGAGTAGAGGGCTTCAGGCCGAGTAGAGGCTTCAGGCCGAGTAGAGGCTTTAGGCTGAAGAGAGGCATCAGGCCGAGTACAGGCATCAGGCCCGAGTACAGGCATCAGGCCGCGTAGAGGCATCAGGCCGAGGAGAGGCTTCAGGCCGCGTAGAGGCTTCAGGCCGAAGAGAGGCATCAGGCTGAGTACAGGCATCAGGCCGAGTAGAGGCTTCAGGCTGAGTAGAGGCATCAGGCTGAGTACAGGCATCAGGCTGAGTACAGGCATCAGGCTGAACCACGGAAGGCAGGTTCACCGGTTTGGATACTGGCAGGATGGTACTGGTTGGAAAGAATTTTCGCTTTTTTCTGGTTTTAACTACTGGAGCACTGCAAGTAAACGCAGGTCTGCAAACGAATGGAGCAGCTGGAGACAGAGAAGAAATGGAGGATGGAACAGGAGAGGGAGCAGTTGCTACAGAGGGCTTTTTTACAGGGTTAAAGGCAGGATAGGTGCAGCGAGTGGGAACAGGGTACTGACATGCGGTAGATAGCCAAGTATACTGGGCTGTAAATGGAGGAGCTGGTGGGCATACAGGAGTAGAGTTAGAAGCAGGACTGGGTCTTTGTAAGCTGACTGAGGCTGGGTGCAACAAGTCTGTCCATGTCTGCAGTAGGGGTTGAACAAAGCTGAGCTTACACAAAGCCTGTCTGGTCAATGACTGCACTGCGTTTATACAATCTCTTAGTGTCTGTGGTGAACATGTGGAATAACGCTCCAGAAAGTAACCCACATCATCCTCTAATAACCACACCAGGGACTCTACCTGGTCTGCACTAAATGGTGGCAAAAATTCATCCCTGCATTCGGGGGAACCAGATGAAACCAACTCTGCACAAACCTCAATCAATGGCTGCACCTCAGAGAACACTGTGCCCTGATCTACTAGAACATGAGCGAGCCGTATACATTCTAGCAATTCATCCCGGGTATACTCCTTCAGAGTCTGATAAGCATACTCCCTGTCATCAAACACTAGCAGATATAAATATTCAACCTCATCAAGATCCATCCTTCCCATCAACAAGCCAAGATGGCTTCCCTGTGCAGCCACTTCTGGTCAGGATTGGCCTTGGTGTAATGTCAGGGCTCCCAGGTATGACCAGAGGTGTGTGACTGAAGCAGGGAAACGCAGACCTCAGATATGTTATAAACAATATAATTTATTAACACTAACAGTACAAACATAAACGCAGTGCAATACTAAACATAATACAGTGCAAACAAACCAAACCACCCACAGATAACAGTACATACAAGCAAGCGTCGTCAGGCAGGCCGGGTCAATATCAATTGGGCAGGTAGGTACAGGGGGAGCAAGCGGAGAATGGTCGGGGTCACAGGCCAGGTTCAGCAGGTAGCAAGCAGCATAGTACAGAGGGTCAGGCAGAGGGATGGTCCGGGTCACAAGCCAGGGATCAGAACAGGTAGCAAGCAGCGTAGTACAGAGGGTCAGACAGAGGGATGGTCAGGGTCACAAGCCAGGATCAGAGCAGGAGAAGTCAGCAAAGGAACAGAAACAGGATGCAGGACAGATACAGGGCCCAGGAAAAAAAACAACACCAAGGCAGAGTCTGTGGGTCTGGCCATCCCTTAAATACCCCAGCATCATCAGTTACAGGTGTTAGCTGGCTGCAGAGTTGAGTCTCTGATTGCTGGGAACACCCGCTGGCCAGCCCTGGTACTGCAGATCAAAAGGCAGGCGAGTCCCACCATTGCTGGCCAGTCCATTCCTAACAGTGAGGATAAAGAGGATCGGTAAGAGTGGACATCCCTGTCTCGTGTTGTTATGTATTTGAAAGGGTTCCGATATGGCTCCGCACTCTAGCCCTAGGTGAAGCGCACAAAGACAAACTAGAGCAAAGCGTGTTGCGTAAAACCAGGCAACTCTATCAAACACCTTTTCGGCATCCAGGAACAGTAAGAATCCCCCTGGCGTCTGTTAGACAATGATGGACAGATGAAAGCGGGTAAGAGCCCTGGCCTGGATGGGCTTTTCAGTTGAATGTGGATCAATGTGGATGTGAAATTGTATGCAAAAATTTTGGCCAATACTGTTTTACCCTTTTTGACAGGATGGATAGGATTGGAACAGGTGGGTTTTGTCTCGGGCAGAGAAGCAAGGGACATCACCATCAAGGCCCTTAAGGGGCCTTTTTGCATACAATTTCACATCCACATTGATCAAAGATATAGGTCTATAGTTCTTGACTCGTGTTGCCTCTTTGCCAGCTGGATGAGAATGATATGGGCCTCCAGAAGAGCTGGAAAAGCAGCAGGAGATTCTATGAGAGTTAAATGCCTTCAAGAAAAGTGGAGCCAAGACCAGGTAAAACACTTATAGTATTGAACTGAGAGCCCATCCAGGCCAGGGCTCTTACCCGCTTTCACCTGTTTCAGAGACAGGTCCAGTTCCTCTGCAGAAAAAGGGACCTCCATTGCGCTTGCTCTGGTGATAGGGCCGGAGCGCCATGTTTAGCCAGGAAGGCTGTTAAGTTCTGCTGTCTAGTAGCCTCAGCTTCAGGAGAAGAGTGGTGAGACTTCATATTGTACAGAGATTCGTAATATGTCTGAAATTGATGAGCGGTCATCTGCGAATCGTGATGAAGTACTAGAAATTTGAAAGCTCCTCAGTAAATGGGACAACCAACATAACCCTAGCATCTTCCAGCCTTGTAGTAATTAGCACCACAGGGACCTATCATTTCAAAGGGAAGGGTTTCTAGAGCACTAGGCTGTCTTTTCATTGGGATGCAAACTATATGCTAGAGATGGTTTGCACCTAAATGGAAGGGGGTCTGCTGTGCTGGGGGAGAGGTTTATGGGATGGCTGGAGGAGCATTTAAACTAGGATTGAGGGGGAGGGAGAATTAGATTATAATGGGGCAGACAGATCAGACAGGGGTCAGTCCTTATTGGTTGGTGGAATGGGGGAAAGATGGGGAGAGGGCTATGGCAGTTGATAAAAAAAGGTTCCCATGTTACAAACAATCATTGGTACCATTTGTATGAAAATAAAAAAAATATGCAAAATATGTGTGCACAAGGTGTCAATGAATTAAAGTGTTTGTTCACCAATGCCAGAAGTCTGCCAAGCAAAATAGGTGAGTTGAAAGCTTTGGTGCATGAAGAGAACTATGATTTAATTGGTATTGTTGAATCTTTGCTTCATTCTTCACATGACTAGGCCATTAATGTTCCTGGCTATCTTCTCTTTCAGAGAGACAGGGTAAAAAAGAAAGGTGGTGGTGTTTGTCTCTATGTGAGAAGTGATTTCAGAGCGAGTGTGAAAGAGGACCTAGTTGATGGAGAATGTGATGAGGCTGAAGCATTATGGGGTGGAACTGTACATGGGGGTTGTCATGTTTCACATGACTGTCATATGCCTTTAAGAGTTTTCTATATCTTGTCTCTGCTCCTCCCTTTCCTTTGGTTTAGTTAATGCTGTATAGATATCCCACCCATTTTCCAGTAAGGCATTGCAGCAAGCCTCATGGCATGGAGCAGAAACATTATGATCTTTTGACCTATGGAATGTTCATTGTTGTAAGATTCTCTCAGTTTTGTTGTAAGATTCTCTCAGTTTATGGAATAAACTTCACAAGATCTACAAGATGTCATTTTCATTGAGTCACTGACTGTGGTATTCAACTAAGGTTGAAGTTATCGCTATCTCATCACAACTGTAAGTTACAGAGATCACACTATCAATGCTTAGATTGGAGAGACAGAACAGTCAAAATATCTGTGGAATGCTTCATAGGAACCTGACTAATCAAAGGATCAGTGAACTGTCTTCATAAGAATCCTTGCTAGCTAGAATACACAGTGAGATGTTACATGGATACTGGATGTAACAGCTATAGAGAATGCAGCCACCTCTACACAAGTCTACATGCCTCCAAGTATATCCCAGCATAACACTCATCAGTGTCAGGACAAATTATTGATGTGAATGTTTTACAACTGCAAGTTTATACCCTGCATCTGTATACATTACAGCAACTCTTGTCTGTGAACTTATAAGAAAGAAAAGGAAAATCTTCCTGCAGCCATTGCCTAGGAAACCTGCTAACCCACAGGAAAAGCGATACATTTCTCTGTAAACTTTCAATCAACCCCTCTCCTTGCTAACATGATGTTTTAGTAAAGTAATATACAGTCTGGGGAAACCAATACACAACCACATTCAGAGCTTCATCCAGAGCAGGACTTAGATAAAAGAGAAAAACGCTTAAGAAATCCAACCTGGAAAGTGCAAGAGAATTTTAATACTGATAAAGAATTGCTGTCTAATATTAATGACTTATGGTCTAATACTGTTAAATGCATGTCTGCTCCCCCAACAATCTCATGAGCCAATACAACTAGAGGGCGCTATCCAGCAATTAAATGTTGCTTATGAGAATTATCAAAGACTGTGTGTTGAATATATTGCTCTGTTAAAGTGTTACCACACTCAAGGGTCATTGAAAGAATTAAGGAGTGAGGGGGGTGTCCAAGATGGCAACCGGAGCGGGCCGCATAATCCGGAGCTCCGGCGCCTTGGTTTTCAATCTGCTGCCATCCGGGCAGCGGTGGCATTGAGCGTAGCACCGGAGGCATCTGAAGTGTCCCCTGCATCTGGGAGAGGGGGATCTGGGCTGTATTGCCCCTCTCTGCGACAACGGACATCCGCGGCCTAGTGCGGCCGCATAGCCCAGATCCTCGGTGCCTGGGCACAAAATCCGCTGCCATCCAGGCAGCGGTGGATCCTTCCTGGGCATCGGAGGCACCTTAATCATCCCCTGCATCTGGGGAGAGGGGCGCTGGACTTTATTTCCCCTCTCCAAGGCAACGGATGTCTGCGGCCTAGTGTTGCCTGCTCCATCCGGCCCTGATCTCATCCCATTTGGGCCACAGTGAGTACAGGCAGCGTGGGGGCGGGCGGGTGCTGATCATCTGATCCCCCTCCCAGTGTTCCAGAGACTGTAGCTCCCGTTCTATGGCCCGGAGGCCCCTCCCTCCGTGATTACGGCCCCCGCTGGGCCTGGAGGCCTGTTGCGGCCTGAATACTGTGGCCAGTGAGGTACCTGGGCTCCCTACACCTGTCCTGGAGGACCCTAGAGTCAGTATACAGGGTATTCTGTGGCGCATAGGCCCCTTGACCCTGTCAGACCCTGTGGTGGGAGTTAGAGACAGCTTCTGGGTCC